TGTGTGTGTGTGTGTGTGTGTGTGTGTGTGTGTGTGTGCGAGCGTGTGTTTTCTGATGGTCTTTGGCAACCCCTGTGAAAGGGCCACTCAACAACTCCCCCACCCTCCTTCCCCCCAAGGGTCTCAACCCACAGGTTGAGAAACACTGGAAAGTTTCTGTACAGGTGAATGTTAGCTAACACTAAGATTGGTTTCCATGCAGCATCTTCTGAGTAGTCTCTTTTCACTTCTTTATGTATCCATACTTTGTATTATTAATACGGAAACAAGCCAGTTTTAAAAAGCAAGTAGATTTGCTTCAGGACCCTCTACCTGGTGTACAAGTTCATGGGCAATCACACTGGCTACTCTTTGTTGGTTGGATGAGGCTGATTCGTTGGGGTCATAAAGCAGGTTTGTTTCTCGGTAAGTGATGAGTCCCCAGTTTTCCATGGCACCGGTGCCAAAATCTGGAATAGCGATTTTATCTATGGAAAAAGACAGTCCAGTGAGAAATGAATTCTTTCCATTTGTTCATAGCATTTCTTACCAAATTAAGTTCTTTGGATGACTTTTTTAAGGCTAAAAATAATCCTTCAGAGTGAGAAACAGGAATCATTTGTGCAAACATTTTGGTCCTAAAGCACTCAACATTCCCACGGAGCAGTTCCTGTAGGCTCCAGACTTCAATGTGTCCCTCTCCTCCCCCCTTTTCTGCTTAACGGTTACGTGACTTTTTTCCCCCAAAGCCTGTATGATTTTATGTCTTTTCTTCTCTGCACAGTATTTCATTTTTATTAGCTGTCCCTATCTTTCATTTATCACCTTGGTTATAAACAGCATCTGTTTGGGAGGGACAGTTGGGCAAAAGAGAGTGAAGCCTTTAAATGAAGATTAAGGGAGACAGAACTTGTGAGTTCATAGAAACAGCTCACACACCAAGGTCATAGACTTAGAAACCCCACTGCCTTCGGGGCTGTACAATTTGAGGACAGTGGTTCTCCACCCATCTAGTGTCCCTTCCCTTGCCACCATCTCCTTTTACATATTAAATACATTAGAGGGACATGGAATTGACTGGTGTGTCTCTAAATTTTCTTCCAGGTCTAAAATGTTGTATGCCACAGGAATTTCTGTCTTTGTTTTCTCTGGATTTTAGACATAACACCCAACAAGGGGATGCAATGGTGGGCACTTCCACAGTAAATCTGCAAACCAGAAAATGTTGATTAGAGTGGGAAATCCAGCTTCCCCAGCTAATGAACTATAACCCAAATGTAATTTTTTATTACTACTGTGATTTAAATGAGGCACAAAAATGCAAGCAAGTTAAATTTCTTTCTAACATGTAAGAAAGGGGACTTTCTGGTTCAAATAAACTGTCTTAAAGATTTTTATGAAAGAATACAAAGTATACATATCTTCAGTAGAAATCAAGTCAACAGTAGTTTTCTTGTCATGTTTTCATGCTAGGGTTTGGTCATTATGGTCATATTAAGAATATCCCTAAAGATTGAGAAAGTGTTTCCCCCACACCCAACAATTTTCACAGTGTTGGAAAGTATAGTGTGCACAAATCCTTGAGCAAATGAAAGTAATCTCTTCTCTAATGAATACAGACATTATAATTAATTTACATCAATTCAATTATCTTTTGATAGAAATGAGGACACCATTTCCAAAGACTATTATACAGCTAATTTGGAAAGTGTTGAAGATGTACAGAAAAACGTAGGGCGAGGGGAGAGAAGAGGGGGAGGAAGGAAGACACTGGTGTGCTTTCTCACCAGGTCCTCTCAGGTCATCCTGGTCACTACAACCGAGACAATTTGGTCAGATCTGTGTGGATTTGGGTTCTCCAATCTCTCACAATTTCTCTTCTAACTCTGGTAAAAAATCTGCTTGTCTTTCATTCTTCTCTGATAATTGCTAAATGATGCAAAGGGTCATTGAAGAGAAAATGAGGCCTGTACACACGCCGAGTCACAGAGCCTTTGGCCTTCCATGGGATTTATTAAGGCAATCGGAACTGGATGAGGAAAGTGAACTGACACCTTCCTTAGAAGCTTCTTCAGGTTACTTAAACCAACCACGCAAGCTTGTTAATAAAGTGCCCTGCTGTTGATAGAGAAGGAGAAGGACTATGGTCCTTCTGGGTTTTTTTCACAGAAAACATGCTTCTATCCACATTGGAGATAAGAAAACTCTGGAAGAAGTTTCAGAGTTTCATTTTCAGGGCCAGAGAGTCTTGCACAACAAGGGTCAGATAGGGAGCATGTGGGCCTCTTACAACATCACCGACCCTTATTTCCCAGCTTCCTCAGGAGGCCATGCGTGTACACCAGCAGAAGAGTACTGATTTTTAAATCAAATGATGTAGGCAGCTGTTTTGGACCCACTTCGAGCAAGCTCTGCAGTTTTGTGTATACACATTCATCTCAATTTGCAAATCCAAGACTGTATCTGCACCATATGAGAGGAGAGAACGCCTGTCATTTTTTGGAGCAACCTAGAATGGATCTTTGAGCTTGTGGTAAACATCATACCTGTCGTGCAGGCACATAACTAAAAAGACTGAGGGACGATCAGTAATTAATGGTAATATAATTAGACACACTATGCTAGCTTAGGTAAAACAAACAAACAAAACCAAAGGCGACTTGAAATGAAGAAATCAAAGTATTTTCTCACCCAGTTTAGGAAGAGAATAGTTCAAAGCGAAGTATTCTTCAAAATAATCAAATACAGCTTTAGTTATGTTTGCAGCATACTCGGCTGTTTGCTTTTGCTCTGGCTGGACATAAATAGTGAGCTGGTAAACAAAACACAAACAATCAAGAGATGAGTCTTCATTTGTTGAAACACACATACACAGAGTGAAACATGGCATCATTCAAAGAAGGAAGCCTCCAGAGTCAGTGCATACAGTTTGAATCCCAAGCCTGCTTCATTGTGGCTTGTCCCCAATAGCCTTGGACCAAGCATGCCACTCCTCTAAGACCTGTGTAAAAGGTCTTTAAGATATAACTGTGTGACATTAGCAGTTAGAAACAGCATAAGAAACAGTGCCCGGGACATTAAAAAGCGTTACCACTTTTTTGTATTTAAAATTTGTATTGTCTGGAGTGAAGAGATGGCTCAGCAGTTAAGAACTAGAACTGCTCTTCCAGAGAACCTAGGTTCATTTCCCAGCACCCACATAGCAGCTTAGAACCATTTGTAACTCCAGTTCCAGAGAATCTGGCACCCTCACACGGACATATCTGCAGTCAAAACACCAATGCACACAAAATAATAAATAAATCATTTTTAAAAAGACTAATAAAACAAAACAACTTGCATTGTCTATTTGGTATCTATGGATCTATGGATCTGCTTACCTTTCCCTGTACCCATTGATTTGTCTTGTGTATGGAGTTCCTTGAGAGGAAACAAATCCATTTCTTTCTTTCTCATCTACAGTGCTATTGATTACACATTTCTCCTTTGTGATATTCCACTATGCTTTTCTAAATGGCCCTCAACATGTTTCTACTTTACTCCCAGAGCCTAAAATATGATGACCCAAACTTTTGCCAAGAAGAAGTGAGTAGGCTGAGTCCATTCTCTGAGCTTCCCGGGTATTATTTTATGTCTCTGTGACCTAATTTACAAATTAAACCGAGGGCTTAGTGCAGATTTTTTTCCAGCTCTAATCATACATGACTGTATAAAAAAGTATTAAGAATCCTTCTAAGCAGACGAATAAATGCCCCTGGATGCTAGGGTTTGTGCTCAGGAACCTCCTGGCTGTTTAGTAATTTTTAGTGTGTAAAGGAGAGAACAGTGCTTCAGACAACAGTCTGATAAATTTAAGAGAAAGTCAAATGAAATATGCATGCTGACCCTGAGACCTGATCCGAAAACCTCCAGCAAAAACTGATGCCGGCGTTTTAGTAAGTTCAAGACCGTTGACCTCACCAGACCAGATGATTCAAGATTAGAAAAACAAGAGAGAGAGAGAGAGAGAGAGAGAGAGAGAGAGAGAGAGAGAGAGAGAGAGAGAGACTACTCATTTCCTGTTCCCACTGCGTTACTATAGGTGATGTTCATTTTGGCACATGCCTCCAATCCTGTTTCTTAGAAAAGAACTCTGACAATATAAAGGATGAATTCTAAAAGAATGTCCCTTAAATGACCAGTGCTGACTGACTACTCTGCATCCTAGCTAAGTGACATTCTTGCCTCATTTGCATAAATAGAAATGAACTCCCACCACAGTCAGTGACCCCGCCCCCTCACATTCCTTGAGGCTTTTAAGTTTTTACTTGCCTGAAGAGAGATGATCCATTTCTACTGCCCTCCCTATCCTCCTGGTAAGCAATGCCTTCTCCAAGCAATAGCTGGACCTAAGGATCCAGCTGGTAGCCACTGAACAGAACAGCAGAAACTGGCCATGAAAAATGGAAGTCAGCATGGTTGCATGGCATTGGCTTATTTTCAACAGAAAGGCTCACAACCTGTCAACGTGTCAACAACTTGGTGTGACACGGCGCACTCGGATTTTCTGCCACACTCATTCTCCATGAGACGTTCCAGGGAGAGCAGTTCCTCTTGTCGTTGCACCACTGTCTACGTGCCCTGTGCGCTGTGCTGTCTGTCTGGAGAGGGAAGGTGAGTTGAGAAAATTCCGACGACAGTGAACCTCTGTGGTAGGTGAAGTGCAGGAGGAGAGAGGCTGGGCCCCCTCTGCTGGTGCTTTCCTATTCCCCACAGAAGGTGGGCTCTTTTTACTGACTCCAGGATTTAAGAACTCAACTATGCTACCATTGAGCTGGGTCCCCGGCTCACAGAGACGTCTTTCAAGCATGCTGCTGAAGCAGTATTGGTTACTTTTTTTCTTCTCCTCATTTCTCTTGGTGACAGCAACAGAAAAGACTGCTATCAGCATTCATTCATTTGGAATCAGAGCAATTCCTTTCTCAGTCCCACACCCATCTGCACACAGAAGTGTGCAAGGTCTGCACCCAGCCAGATGCAGATTTCCCATCACTTAGGGCCCTTCCAGACAATCACCACGGGTCATATTCTCTTAAACACAGATTCGGTCAATGAGCTGAGGAATCGTAATAGAACAGCATGCTGGCCATTCACCACAGTCCTTGTCCTGATTCCACAATCCCTATCTATAATCATAAAATCTGAAGAATTTTGAAGGTTTTGCAATTAGACAGTGTATGCATGAGTGTATCCTCTCTGCCACATGTTAGGAACATAGGTCAACATGGAAGACACCAATGCAGTCTGTCATTTGAAGCCTGTGTGTAATGTATGTGCCACCCTCAACTGCAGAACACCTGCGGTGTGTGGCCTGGAACTCAGAATGACACCGTCCACTCTGCAGATACCCTCACTCCTGCCCTGTGCTCTATTTCCAGCTCCCTGGTGGTGGCTCATTGAGCCCCATTCCTGTATCCCTCTCCTTCCTCTCCTTCCTCTGGTCTCTTAGCATTCCTGTCCCTCACAAAGTCCCCCTGCATTGCCATGACTTATACTAATGATTACCCTCTTTCCAGTTCTCATGCTTGCTTTCAAGGAACTTTTTAGTGATTAAGTATGAGGTTCATAAACTTAACGTATAAATGTAAGGATTCTAGAGCCTAACTATTATACCTGTTTATTTTCCAAAGTAGGGTATCTTCTCAGAGGAAATTAAATTCCTGATACATACCTCTACTACAGAGGACTAGCCCTGCCTCAAAACACTCAGTCTACCACACATTTTAAATTGGTTCTTCATTTGGAAGCCATGACACATCTGTCCTGTCATTATTCTAGTTGCTTTTCTCTTACCATACTGGTCCCACTTACAAGGCAGGCTTAATATTTTTAATGTTTCATTTGTTTTATTTTATGTGTATGAGTGTTTTGATTGCGTGTATGAGGGGTTTGACATGGTCCGTGTGCTGTGTGTATGGCATGTGTATCGGAGGAGAATGTTAGATTCTCCAGAGACAGGTTGTGGTGAATAGCCACGGGGGTTCTGAGAATCCAGTGTGAGTCCTCTCAAGAGCAACAAGAGCAGCAGGTGATGGTGCACACCTTTAATCCCAGGACTTGGGAAGCAGAGGAGAGTGCATCTCTGTGAGTTTGAAGCCAGCCTGGTCTACAGAGCAAGTTCCAGGGCAGTCTGGGCTACACAGAGAAACCAGGTTTCAGAAAAAAAGAAAAAAGAACAAGTGTTCTTAACCACTCTCTTGGCCCATAGAGTGGGCATTTCGATTTTTTTTTTTTTTAATACGATGCCTTTCCAGTGTCTCCAGCAGTTTGAGGGATGAGACACAAACCCAGGAGGGTTGATACCTAGTTGACTGCTGCCACTCACTGCGTGTGTCTCTTTGTTAGACTTGATCATCATGACTGAACAGTTTTTCCTAGAACAACTTAATGCATCTTTATACCACTTCCCTCCTCAGTGCCTATTTATGTCTGCAAACCACAAACTTTGTACAAACCTCACCAGTGTTTACTTATGAGTGTCACTGCAGGTGATATTGTCAGGCCTTCTGCAAGGAGCTTGTCATGCTACATGTCAATTCTATGAATGTTGAACTGCTGCTAATAGAATGCCATGTTTTATGTAACTGATGATCATTTTACAGAAACTCTTAACCACAATTAGAAAATCAAAAGCTTTCTATTTGTCTAAATTTGGTAATATCGTCTAACCTGAACTGATACCTGAGAGGTAGATTTTCATACCTTTTATTTTTCCCATTTATATATAATATGTATGGGAAATATATCTAATTTTATATACACATAGCTGTATGTATAGACACAGATAATTAAACTGTGTATATCCCCCCCACACACACTGTTTAGTTATCAAGTCCCATGAAATGCATCATTATTTGGAAGACCAGCCTTCACACAAATCCTAACAGGTGTGATTTCTAACATAAAACCAGCTCCAAAGATACAGACATTTTTTTTTTACAAAAAAATTTGATAGTTCAAAGGGGATTTAAAAGTAAAAATTTGAATATATGCCAGCGAAGTGAAGTGTATGATGGTTTGAGTGAGAATGGGTCCCTTAGTGTCATGTTTGATCCTTGGTCCTCAGCGGAACTGTTTGGAAAGGATTAGGAAATGTGGCCTTGTTGGAGGAGGTGTGTCACTGGGGGCGGGCTTTTTCACAAGCCTCCTGCCATCCCCACTGTTCTCTCTGACTTGAGCTTGTGGATAGAGATATGAGGTTTCGGGCACTGCATTCACTCAGCCATCAGACATCCGGAACTACAAACCCAATTAAACACTTTGACTTGTAAGCTGCCTTGGTCATGGTGTGTCATCACAGCAGTAGAAAAGCAACCAACACAAAGTGCAAGACACAAACAAGAGCCCAATTCAGAGACAGTCTGGCTCCCACGTCATCACACCGACTCTACTGGTAAATCTGAAGCTTCGCTTTCCCCAGCTGCACAAAGCAGATAGCAGCAAGATTTATGTCACAGACAGACAGCATAAAGTGGATAAGATCACGTTTCCACAGTGCTTGACACATCAAAGTTCTTAGGCTCATCGCCGGGATCAGTGTCACGGATAACACGTTCAGTTATTAATCTTGGTGACTCTCTTTGTCTGAGCTTCCTTCTGTGTGAGTGGCAGCACAAGGTGGTACCCACATTGCTTTTAAGAGGAGTGGAGAATGAGGGGGTAGCAGGAAGTAAATGAACTTTATGCTTTTGAGATACAAAATAATAGGTTCCTGGTATCCACACAGTGAGCTCAAAAGACAAGCCATTTGATTTGCAAGAACTTGGTTTACAA